CAGAGACCACAACACAGCCATAATAATAATGAACACTGGCATCACAGTTTGGGAAGGCTATTGCATTAGCTGCCATCACTGTAAGAGATTTTCTCTCTCCATTACAGCTAGACATCTTTATCACACCATGGAAGCTCAAGTTTACTCAGTACATGCTATCTCATCCTTAATGATGTGCCCCAGCATAAAATTTACCATTATCATTCTGACAAAAAATTAAAGTCAATATCTGGAAATAAATAGAAAAAATATATTTGAAACATGACAAAATTTATTCATGGGGAGAAACTTATAATATAAATATGAAAGAAAAAATAACTGAGGGTGGAGGGGGTCATGCAGATGACTACTTAAAATTTCATGCTGGGGCACATCATCGGAGAGAAAGTACTCTGTACTGTTGGTAAACAAGACTAATGATATTCACAAAGTGCAACAGAGGCCTACATCCCCTGCATTCAACCACATCTGTGCGCCAGCACTCAAATATAGGACAGGTGCACATATCCTTGTTCTCCATGTTATACTGGAAACTGTCACAATGACTCTGCTTGAACACATGGTGTGCATATTGTTCATCTGCAACCTGCTCAATCAAAGGCAAGCTAAGAGCTTGCTGGAAATCACTCTGCTGCAATAGCTGTGGCATTTGGCATGAAACAATGCACTCAGGTCCACACTCCTCCAAGGTTTCAGTAACAGACATGGATGACATTGTGTACACAAGGTAAGAAGACAACCTCACAGAGGCATGGCATACAGAGGTAGATCACCCAGCACACAGGTCAGGAGGCCAAGTAAAAGTTCAGCCACCAACAACAGAACACATATGTACACACAAAACTAATCTTCCATCTCCATTTCCAAAGAGGCAAACTTGTTGGTCACACTAAGTATCTGAAAATAAAATTCAGCCAGTTAGTCTAAAGTTTAAATAACAAATACAAAACAAAATAATAAGAATATAGATGTCAAAATTGCCAATTCCACAAACCCGGCTGCCAAAGTGCAGTTCCAAGAATATTTAAACAAAAATATCCAAAGTATACAAAAGTTTAAGGTATTTTATCATTTTTACAGGTAAAAATATAGAAAAAACTCTCACTGTGTACATCAGTATTCAAAACTCTGTCTCCCCCCTCTCTATCTTTTCCCCTTCCTCCCTATAAAACATAAAAAAGCGTTCTCTATGTGTACATGTGTTTCAAACTCTCTGTCCCCCACCCCCCGTATATCTCTCTCTCTTTTCTCTCTCTTCTCTCCCTCTCTTTTCTCTCTTTCTCCCTCTCTTTTCTCTCTCTCTCTCTCTCTTTTCTCATTCTCTCTCTCTCTCTTTTATATATCTCTCTCTTCTCTCCCTCTCTTTTCTCTCTCTTTTCTCACTCTTCTCTCTCTCTCTCTTTATATATCTCTCTCTCTCTTTTATATATATCTCTCTCTCTCTTTTATATATCTCTCTCTCTCTCTTTTATATATATCTCTCTCTCTTTTATATATATCTCTCTCTTTTATCTCTCCCTCTCTCTTTAATCTCTCTCTCTCTCTCTTTTATCTCTTTTCTCTCTCTCTCTCTCTCTTTTATCTCTTTTTTCTCTCTCTCTCCCTTTTATCTCTTTTCTCTCTTTTATCTCCCCCCTCTCTTTCTCTCTCTCCCCCCCTCTCTTTCTGTGTCTCTCTCTCTCCCCCCTCTCTGTCTCTCTCTCTCCCCCCCTCTCTGTCTCTCTCTCTCCCCCCCCCCTCTCTCTCTCTCTCTCCCCCCCCCCCCTCTCTCTCTCTCTCCCCCCCTCTCTCTCTCTCTCTCTCCCCCCCTCTCTGTCTCTCTCTCCCCCCCCCTCTCTGTCTCTCTCTCTCCCCTATCTCTTTGTCTGTCTGTCTGCCTGTCTATTTTTCTATCTGTCTCTCTCTCACTGATGCCTTTGTCTTACCACCTCATTATCTTCAGCAGGTTTTCCCTTCACGTTCACTTCATTATTCTTCTTTGGCTCATCATGTCCATCCTTGACATCACGACTTCCTCTGTCATCCTGAATGTCACAATCAAAACAAATCATTAAGTATTTACTCATAGAACGACAGATCCAAATACCTATAATTTCAGCAAAAAATGATAGTCTATTCCTCATAACTTGGAAACTTCAAAAGAAACAAAAGGTTCAATGACTGGACTACCAACCCTTCTGTCAACATTGTTGTCCCTTTTAGCAGATCTATCATCCTGACGGTTATCCCTGCGATCGTCCTCCCGATCATCTCGCCTTTCAATTTTTCGGTCATCACGTCGGTCATCACGTCGGTCATCTCGGCGTTCCATCTTACGGTCATCCCGGCGATCATCTTTACGATCGTCTCTGCGTTCATCCCTACGTTCATCCCGACGAGGTTCATCTCTGTGATACAAAGAATTTAAAGTAAGTTTAGGAACAAAAACAATTTTAATCCAGTGACTGCAATATTAAACATTGGCTAGAAGGCTGTGACTTCTTGTTATCTTCACCCACTG